AGGTAAGTTCCTGAATGTCGAGGAGCTAATTAAAGCAGAAGAGAGGCTGGGCTGTAGAACCATGGCTTTTGTCTGGGATGGAGGCCTGGTCTTGTAAGCAATCCATTTTCTAGCAGGATTTTTCATTTCCTCACCTATGTCCCCCAGAGTCCCACACATTCACACACAAGACTCCTGAGTCATTCCCCAAAACCTGGCGCCACAGCTCAGACTAGACCTGACTGCCATGCCAGGAAAGGCTTGACTAAAATCTTCTGTGTTTTGTGTTTCATCAAATGAGATAAAAACGTCTCTCCTTGCAGCCCAATCAACCAGGAAGTCTGCTTATGGGAAAACTGTGAAATTGGGGGTAACCCTCAAATTTGTATAAATCACAATCTTCCCACCTCTCACTTTTCCTGAACTGAAAATTGGGTTGCAAACCACCCGCCCTATTTCTGCCAAAAGTTCATATAAAACTAAATGAGGCACCACATGCAAAATAAAACATCAAAATCACTTTTCAAATGTCATTACTATCATTAAGCACCATCAACGTGTAAGACATGAACCTAGAAACTTCAGAGCACAGCATCCATGTGAAAATAATATTTTAGGACACCGCAGTCTGGTAGGAGGCCACTCTGGGCCGTCTCTCCAGCCACCACTCTGTGCAGAGGCCAGCCTGACTGAGCCACACAACCCTAACCCCGGAATCCCACTGTGTCTGGAAGACCACTGGGTCTTCTCTCTGTGAAGCGCTTCCCGCCCTTCCCACCTCATCTTTTTTCCTCTTCTCTTATTCTTCATCAGGCTTAGCTCCAGGACCTCGCCCTGACCAGCCCTGCTCCACCTGGAGCCTAAGACTGAACCCAGCATTCTAGTCTTGTTCCTGTCACTGTGACCCCCACAATACTGCATCCATTTGCACATCTGAGTGCTCCCTGAGAGCAAGAGATGTGGCCTACTTGTTAGCTTGGGGTTCAGATTAAGGGTTGAATGAACAGCTGTTGGGTAAATAAAAAAAAAAAACAAACTGACAGAGCACAGTGGCTGCTCAGGAGAGGCACCATGCTATTCAACTGAACATGGAGGAGATGGGAAGAGACGGTGTGTCCTGGGTGCCATTTCTCCCCTCCTTTTCCCTCAGGTTTCCAGATGGTTACTTCACTACTGTGGTAGAGGAATGTGATAGACTCAAGCCAGCATTTAGTAAGCACCCGCTACAGACAAGTGTGTGCAGAGTGTTTCTGTGATTACCTCACTTAACTTTAAAAGCCCCTGAAGAGGACCCCACTTAAGAGGAAATCGAGGCTTATCTGTGAGTCACTCCCCTGTGATCAAGCCGACGGTGAGAGAGTGGAAACAGGACTCCGGGGCTCTGCCCCAAAGCCTGTCCTGTTTCATTTTTATGGTATGGTGCTGATAGTTAGGGGTACAGGAGGATGGAAGCTTGTGGAAGTCTTCCTCACACACAGGGAAGTCCCTTGGGGTACAAGAAGAGCAACTGTGGGATGGGGATTGGTCTAGAATCTTCACTGGGTGTTATAGATAGCCAGGAAGCAGCTGGGCATCCAGAGGGCTGGAGGGCAAGGGACAGCCGAGCCCATGTTGCTTGGGCAGACAGAGGCAGGACCTGGAGCCACCTCGCTTGGGTCCTCTGGATGTTGACCTTTCTTCTGCCCATCAACCCACACTGTCCAGACAGATCTGTCTGGGCAACCACAGTCCAGACAGATCCTTCATAGTGACTAAGAACTGATTTCAGAAAATGACTTTTTTCACAAAGGGGAGAAACAAAGGCTAAACAAGATCACTTCCTATTTGTGTCCTTTGACAGAAGACACATTGCTTATGGGGAAACAATGGAAAAAAACCCAGTCTCAGATCAGTGCACAACAATTTCATTTTGAATAAACTAGATTTACTGAGAAACAAAGATGGACAGACTGACAGAGAAAATCACTCAATGACCTGAGGGAGTGAAAGGGTGGGGGCCCCAGTTATTCTAAGTGTCCTCATAAAAGATGTTCTGAAATTGCATTGCACTTTTTTGGGGGTGGGGGCTTGAACTCAGGGCCTTGTGCTTGCTAGGCAGGCTCTCTACCACTTGAGTCATTCCACCAACCCCCTTTTGTATGTTGGTTTTATAGCGGGTATTTTTTTTTTTTTTGAGATAGGGTCTTGCTTTTTGCCTGGGCTGGCCTTAAACTATAATTCTCCTGATCTCTGCCTCCTGAGTACCTAGGATTACAAATGTGAGTCACTGGCATCTGGCCACTTGTCACTTCCTTAAAAAGTCAGACGTGACCACGCTGAGGACTGAATTGGAAGGTCCATGTCAGCATTATTCATAATTGTAAAAACTGGACATGATTCCAATGCTTGTCTACTGGCAAACAGGTAAACAAACATGGTGCATCCATAGAATGGAATAGTACACAGCAACGAAAATAAACCAACCATGAGCATGCTGACCTGGATGAACCTCAGTCATATTATGCTACACGAAAGAAGACATATACAGATATGTTCTGGCCCCAGTTTATGGAATTTCTAACAAAGGCTAAACTACAGAGACAGAAGACAAAGCACACATTGCCAGGTGTGGGGGTGGGAGTGAAGGCTGGCTGCAAACAGGCTTGAGAGAACTTTCTAGGGTGAAGCAGGGGCTCTAGCACTGGAGTGTGGTAATGGCTGCAGAGTTTAGCAGTGGAATTCTAGCTTAATGTGAATGTTAGGGTATGTAAGACCCACTCAAGACTTCTGTTAAAAGCACAATGTGCTACAGGTTATGTAAATCTGGGCTGCATGTAACCAAGGGTGGAAAGGACACAGTGTTCATCAGAAGGGTGAGGGAGAGTGTGGCAAAATTCTAAGATTGCCAGTGCTGCGTTGGGTTAGTGTGGGCCTGCACTGAGTACTGGGATATTACAAACAGTTCAAAGATAAACTTAACATAAAAGGTTCACAAGCCGGAAACCAGTGGCTCACGCCTGTAATCCTAGCTACTTAGGAGGCTGAGATCAGGAGGATCACAGTTCAAGGCCAGCACAGGGGAACGGTTCAGTAGATCCCATCTCCAAAATAATCAGAGCAAAAATGAACTGGAGATGTGGCTCAAGTGGTAGTGTCTGCTCTGTAAGTGCAAAGCCCTGAGTTCAAGTCCTGGTCCCACCAAAAAAAAGAAAACGTTTACATAGCAAGGAATAACGTTCCTGCCCTTATTGTTTTCAGATAGCATCCATATACAGAATTAAATCTGAAATCAGTTTATGGATAGACAGATCTGAAATAAGGCTATTCAGAGAAACCGGTAGTGCTGAAGACATGGATAACATTACAGAAAGCAAAAAAACCAGCTCACGAGGCAGCAGAGATTTGGGTGGGCTGAGTGGAGCCAAGTGTAACTACAAAGGATTAAGATTTTGCCTTCCAGAAACTTCCAGGGCAAGGGATGGCAGTTGGTGTAGAAGCGGGGAGGGAACCACTAAAGGATTCTGTTATAGTGATGAGTCAAATCGCTGACTTTGGAGGGAAACACCAATTTTGCTGTTTTAGAAAAAAAAAATTTTGAGACAGGGTCTTGCTACGTAGCCCAGGCTGGCCTTGAACTCAACATGGTTCTCTCAAGTACAGGGATTACAGGCATGCACCACTGCACATGGTGCATGTCTCCCTCACTAAAGCTTTAAATGTTTTCTTTGTGAAGTGGATTTACTGTTACCTCCCTCACAGTGTGGTTCTGACACTCTGGTGAGCAAATTTAAGGACGTGCTTGCTCTAGCAGGTGCTACACCCCACTGGCCAGCCTTCTGAAGACTACGCTTGCCTCGATGGACGGGGATGTACAATTTACTGGTGGACATGCACTTTAAAATGCACCACCTTGCACTCCTGTCCAAGCTCACCAGTGTTTGGCCAGTCCTGGTGCACCACTGTTTTCAGTAACAGCAGTGGAAGAGGAATGAAAAGTGGTGTGGGTCCATGAAGCCCTCCTCCACCTGGGGCTATGCCACACACGGAGCCGAGCATCTGAGAAAAGATATACTTGGAGCCCCAACTCAGTTCTACTCTCAGCTTGTCTTGGCAGGAGTCTTAAGTGTCTGGCTGCATCCCAGTAGTTATTGTCTGTGAGAGGAAGGACACACGGCCGTGGAAACATAAACCCTTCCTCCTTTACAAAAACAACATATTCCCTGCAAAGAACTTCCAACACAGGTTAGAGAAAGTGAGTAATTGTCCAAATACTTACTCCCCACCCCGCCCCGGCCATGCAGTCACCCTAACTATTCTGATGCTTCTCAGCCCCTCCTATGCAGAGCAGGTAGGGGCAGCATTGTTTGTACCAGAGGCAGACAGGCCATGTGCAATCCCACCTCTGCCACTTCCCGCCCTGTGGTCTGGTAGATCTGGCAGAGCCTTCCCAGAGATCTGTGAGGGAACCACAGTCCACTCAGAACGGTGTGTAGTGTAGGACAAGCACTCAACAAAGGAGAGCTACTGCTGTGTGTCCAGACATGTGTATCCATGCAGGTGCATGTGCACACACGTGTGTACACTCATCTATGGACACACAGGACATGTATACTGAGTGTGCAGAGATGTGTGATTCTAACAACTTAACACACAGTGGGTCACATGGTGTACCATGAAAGCATGTTCACATAAATACAGATCTGCCTCACCATTTTAATGGCCAAATACTATTCGACTGTACAGATGGACCATACAATCTATACTTGACAGTTGTTGACCATTTGGGTTGTTTGTATAATCATTGGGAGTGACTGCATTTATGGGTCACCTAGTATATATCATAGAAATTCAAAACCAAGTTCAATAAGGATCAGGAAAGTGGCAGTCCACTAGAACAAACCCATACTATTTTCTACCCCTTTGAACCTCAAGCCAGTGAGGTGGCTTATTCAGCCCACTCAAACCTGGTTATGATTTATGTCATACCATATCGTTTAATGCCGGCTTGCTCAACATTAAAAACAGGAACATCATTACTTCGGCACAGTTTTTATTTAGCAAAGATAACACGATTCTTCCTAGATGAAAGTCAAGGACCCTTTTCCAGCTTCCACCCCAACTCTGCAGGTCTGTCATCCCTGCTGTGCTGTCGCCTCCCTCACATACCCAGGGCGACCCGGGGTTGAGGAGTCAGGCACGGTAGGCCTGCAGAAAACCTCTGATGAAAATGCACACCCTAAACTGATTTTCCAGACTATCTACCTCTCCAGAAAGTGTTGGCCCGACAAGGGGGACCAAGAGTCTCAGCTGTCACATGCGGTTCAGCCATGTGTTCTGATTGAACAGGCCTAGGGGGTGATGGTGGCTAGACCCAGCTGCGCCGATTTCTGGCTTGTCCACCAGCTCCACAATGCATCGTTCCTGGCCCTGGTCACCACACTGTGCCTGCTCCAGTTCCAGCACTGTGATGTTGTTTGGAGCTGAGGTCGTCAGGATGTGCTGTGGCACAAACAAGGTCTTCTGGGGACCCCGTGCTGGCCAATAGCGGCCAAGGTTAAAGCCATTAATCCACACTTGGCCCTGGAGAGAGACAGACAAACCATTAACTCAGGATGCAGCAACAGCCCTGAGGTGCATGGAATCCCTGATGCGGGGACCCAGGCATGATGGGGACCCACAAAGGGTGCACTGAGAAACCAGGGTCAGGCCAGCCTTGGGTCCGGTTGAGGAGTGGCCTTGCCTGGCAGAGGGCAGGTGGAATAAATAGCAGAGTCATGCTCCCCATGCCTGCTCCTGCTGCAGGAAAACATATTTGGTGCCTCAGACTCAAACAGCCATAGGTGCCAGTCCTGGAGAACAAGGAGGCAGTTCACCAAGTTGCAGAGTTTCACCCAGCCCCCAGGTACTGCATGTCTCTGTGCAGTGACCCTGGCCTGGCCGGGCACTGAAGGGAGCTGCAGAACTGCTTCCTCCCCAGTCGAGCTTTCCTGCTTTCTTCTCCCCTGCTAGAGGCCGCTCTTGGTCTGGTGAATGCCAGGGAACATGCTTGGGCCACAGAGAACTCCAGGGCCTGTAGCCTGAGAGCAGGCAGATAACAGGTACAGTCCCCAAACTAGCCATCAAGATGGATGTGGAGGCTGGGGGAAAGAGGACAAGGGCCACCCAGCTGGGCGTCTTTGTCACTGCATTGTTTTAGTGATTCTCCGAGCTCCCTCAGAGGAATGGTAGACTCTAAGTTTGCTGCAAGGAACAGAGGTGGTTCTGCAGCTGCAAGACAGCTCCTGTCATCAGGGGAAGCAGCGAGAAACCCCTGAAGAATGGTGGCCATGTTTGGTGGTCTGCTTGGCCTCCCTACATGTGCTAGGATCTACTCAGAGGATGGAACTCAAGAGAAGTGACCAGAAAGAAACTGAAGCCCAGGGGAGAGCACACACATGCCAGGGACAAAGAGAAAACCTGGAAGAGGAAGCAAGGAAGGAATAAAGGGAGAAGACAGAGGGCAGAAGAGTGGAGGGGAGCAAGCAAGAAAGAAACAGGTAACAGGTAACTGGGAGGCACCCTGGTACCCATCATGCTCCATGACACAAATGCTCTTCGTCACCCTAGACTTGCTAGCCTTGGAGTATTTTTTCAGTCCCCAGTGTCCCCTTTGTTTCAACTCTTCTGAATTTCTTAGCTCTGCCACTTACTAGCTGTCTGACCTTGGCCAGATCTCCACTCACTCTTTCCATACCAGTCATGGGACAAAGGGGACAGAAGAAAAGAGCACATGTCCAGTGGCCAGCCCAGTGGCTGACTTGGGGAAAATGCAGTCATCAGCAGCATTCCTTACAGTACTGAGACGAAAAACTCTTGGTGCTGACACCACACAGAAGGAGGTCAGTGATCAAAAACCACCTGTCTGTTGGATTAAGTCATTTAGAAAAAGGATGACAGTTTCACAGTTCTCCGAATCACTTTACTCCTGTTTTTACCACGATGTTATCTCCAGCCATCCTAAAAGGTGCACGCGAGGTCACCTTCACCAGATTGTATCAGCCTGAGATCCGCCAGGGTCTCGGTTTTTGGGTTTTTTTCAGTATTAGAGAACAGGAGTACCTGCTCTCCTTGTTGAGGGAGGAGATGGCTGTGAAGGCAGGTGAGCGAGGGCTTGGTGAGCAGTGCATAGAGATGACATATACCACATGAGCTTCCTGCCAAAGCAAAGCCAACTCCTGACCAAACACCAGGTGAGCATCTAGGCTTCATTTGTAAGTAAGCAAACGCTCTTGTGCGCGTTGACCTGGTAAGTGAGCTGACAGCTGCTTTTTTGAGTCCCCTCAGCAGGGTGGTTGGGGGTTAGAGGGATGCTGTGCCTGGGAAGAAGGCAGGACGCAGCAGTCACTGCTCTTGGGAGATCACCATGGTTGGACACAGGCTGACAGGACAGCAGTCCCTGGCAAGTGCCAGCTCAGCCTTGGAGGAGGAGCTCGTCTTTCTGGGTACTGATCCTGCTGGCCAACAGGCAGAGGCAATGGTTCCCAGACTTCTCTGTGGGTCCCCCAAAATATAACTTGGGTCTAGACTTGTTTCTCAGCTTCTCCTTAGCTTCTAACCCAGGGCTCAGGAAGCTGGTGGGTGTGCCCACCTGTGAGCCTCCGCCCCCTCTGGCTTTCATTTTACTAGCTCTTCCCACACTTGGAAAGGTCTACCTCCTGACGCTAAATACAGTAAGTGTCTCCACTTCTCAGATAGAACTGCGACTGAGAGACAGAAAATCCCAACACCCAGAGCCCACCCCAGGTCTTTCTTCTTCACCCACTCTTCCTTCCTATCCAGACTTGTTACTCAGGTCCCATTCCATCGGGTTAGCTACTGACTACACAGCTCCATGTCTATCTTCCTCCAAACTATAATCTCTTAATAGGCAGGGGTGGTGTTTATCCCAGTCAGTCCTGCACCTAGGAGGTTCAATCATGCCTGCTCAGGAAGCGATAATGAGTATACTCTGAAAAACAGACATTTTATTTCATCCCTTCCGACATATATAGTAGAATTAAAAACTTAAAATTTGAAATTACTTGGTCCCTAGGTTTCCTCTTGTTTTTTGAGACAGGTTCTCTCTACATAGCCCAGACTGACCTTGAATTTGTGATCCTCCTGCCTCAGCCTCCCCAGTGCTGGATAGCTTTGCCTTTATAGGAAGGTTTTTTTTTTTTTTAATTTAAACTTATACAGTTAATTTCTTTAATAGATATGCAACTATTTTGATTTTCTTCTTGTGCCAATTTGGCTAGTTACAGGACTTTTTCAACTTGCATCTGTCTTTCCAAATTTTTAGCTTAAAATCAGTCACAGTATCCATCTCTAGTAATGTATCCTTGTTTTTCATCCATAATTATATTGATTGGTTTTGCCACCATTTTCCCCTTGATAAGTCTTGCTTCGATTTTTAAAAAAATTTTTGCATGAACCAACTTTTGACTTTATTGGTTATTATAGATTTGATATTTTAATTCACTAGTGTTAGGTCTCAACTTGATCTCACTTATGCCACCTTAAACTCTGCTTGACCCTAGAGTTGTATGGCTCTGATAGCGATGGGTCCTCCAAGGGACATGTCTTGCTTCCCAGCACCTGTGCCAGAACACAAGGCTTAGCTTCTTGACTACCCTCAGCAGTGTCCTATTCTTGCCATTGGTCCGTGACTGAAATCCCCTGGTTCCCAGCACCTGTACCAGGACACAAGGCCCAGTTCCTTGACTACTCCTAGGAATGGACAATAGACAAGTCACAACAGAAAAATTCCTCCCATCCTTTACCAGGTCATTCCTTTCCTATAAAATCCCCCAGTCTGTGATGGCAGTGGGCTCTAGCTCTCTTGTGCTGATGGCAAGTCATCACTTTGTCTACCTCTCTGCACTTTTCAGTCTAACAACTAGATTCTGGTGTAATCAGAATTCTGGCCAACTTCTAAGGCAAACTAAGATATAACATTCATCAGAAAAATGCAGTCTGTCATTGGCCTGTTTGACTAATGTTTAAAAAATTAACATTCTTGTATAACCACCACTCAGATCAGGAAATAACAGATCTGTACTCAGAAACATCCCTCCCGCCTTCTCCAAGTCACCATCGCCTTCTTCCTCTCCAATCATTGTCACTATCCTGATTTCACCTGCCATACATTAGTTTTGCCTAATTTTGAACTATTTAAATGTACTACGTAAACTATATCAACTGTACAAACTATATAATCACGTCGTTTTTAGTATCTAGTGCATTACATAGAATAGTCCTTTGCTGATTTTTTTGGGTGGTACTGGGGTTTGAACTCAGGGCCTCAAGCTTGCTAGGCAGGCACTCCACCATCTGACCCACTTCGACAGTCCTATTTTGTGTTGAATATTTTCAAGATAGGGTCTTGCAAACCATTTGCCCGGGCTAGCTTTAAGCTGTGATCCTCCTGATCTCTGCTTCCTGAGTACTAGGATTACAGGTGTGGGCCACGGGACTTGGCTCGTTTGCTGATCATAACTGCTGTGTGGCATTCAATACCAATTTTATTTGGAGGAGGACAGGATCTCATGATGTAGCTCAGGCTGGCCTTGAATTTGTGATCGTCCTGCCTTAGCCTCCTGAGTGCCGAAGTTAGGCCTGGCTAATTTATGAATTTTTTTCCTTTTTTTCTTTTTTTGTGGTGCTAGGGCTTGAAGCAGGGCCTCCTGCACACCACCCAAGTGCTCAACCACTGAGCCACACTTCCAGCCAGACAATTATTTATTCCTTTTCCTTCTGGAACATGCAGTCATGGGGTACATGTGTCCAACTTTAGTAATAGGACAGGCTAGCTATCAAAAACCAAGGGCAAAGGAGAAAATGGATTCTTACTTTTAACTAACCTGATGTGTAACAGGCACGTTGGCTGGAGGCCGCCCTGCTGACACAGGTCTGAGCTTGGGGAGGCCCGCTTTCATCATCAGACCATAGCCTCTCCATCCTCACTGCCAGTCTGCTGGAACGAGTCCCATTTGACGCTGTCTTATACTACAGCAGCTTCATTTCAGGTCTTCACTGCCTCTATGAACCTGAGAACCCACGGTGTCCTCTGCTCCACATCCAGCTCCTCTTCCTGAAAGCTAGCCTGCGTGGCAACAAGCCTGGGGATTTCCACGCACTGCTTCCCTTCTCCTTACCGTGGTCCACAGTCACCCTGGCCTCCCTTGCTCTCCCCTAGGCCTCAGCACATCAGCTGTACCTGGGCCTGAGCACTATCCCCAGACATATAACCGGCTCAGTTCACAGGCTGTGACTGCGTCCTCACCTCCTCAGAGGCAGGGTCACGACGATCCTCCTATCCTGGGCTTCCCACTCTCAGTTGCGAGAATCAACTTAGGTTGGATCTTTTCTGTCAAAAGATTTAAGCAGTAACCACCACTGTTACAAATGTCAGTCTCACTAACTCGCTTCCCATTTGCTCGCTTCATGGACTCTGCTTAACGTGATAAAATTTCTATTAAAAACAAAGGGTTGTTATCCTCAGTGGGGCAAGAATTCTGCTAGCTGCCCTGGTTCCAGAGCTGATAACCTAAAACAGTTAT